GGTCACCGCACTCCCTATGGACCAACGGCTCCTATGTGTTTGTCCCCGTGGTGCAATTCATTCTCTGCATTTGACCCATCCTGATGCCGCTAAGGCTTACGTCAGGAGCAGTGGTCGCCGTAGTACAGCGCCCGGGAACCCATCTTCAGACGTTAATGCTCGGCTTGGTCAGGACTACCGGAGCAGGAGGATTTTACCTAGTGAGCATATTTTTAGTGGTAGGGGAAACCGGAGCACCCGGATGAAACCTACGCAGAAACAGGCAGAACATGCAAACTCCACTCAGAAAAGCCCTGTTCCGACTGGGATTCAAACCCAGGACCTTCTTGCAGGACCATCTTGCTTCAGCCACCGTGCCGCCCACCAAATATTATTGTATTTCCTGTGTTCAAACTGCTTGCATCTAAGTAAGTAAGTAATAATTAATTATATAGCACATTTGTCGCCATATGAGAGACACATGCCAGACCTATGTCACATGTTTTATTGGTCTCTGTTCTGGTGATGCAGAATCAACAAGTCCTCTGAGACGACTGGTGATTGTTATTTAGGTCTAAAAAAAAATCAAGTTGAATTGAATTGAATTGAATGGGTCTAAAACCAACTCCAAGTCTGTTGTTTGCTGATGGAACAATGTTGTAACATGGGTACCAGCTCAAACATGTCGATTATAATTAGATTTTGTATCATCTGGTGTCATTCCTCGTCCAAAACATATGTGAGGTGTTTTTAGCTTCTTCCACACTTTTTCCAGTCCACACCCTTCCCCCTCACGGAAGACGCCATGTTGAGTCCAATCTGTCATAGATACGGCTCCATAAATCTTTTACACCCTTTGAGGATTACGTTTTCTTCTGATATGTTCTCTGCATTTGGTCTGTCTGTTTGCGTGGATCACAAGTGCATTATTGTCACCTTATTGCAAGGATCTCCAGCCTTTTTTTTTTTTCCACGGAGAGATACTTTTTCAGGACAAAATGGCAAAATTGAGTCCATACTGAAGAACGGAGACTTGCCCTGGATTTTTTTATGAGTATTTGTGTCATCCATCTATTAGCGCATTCAATATTTACAATACTTAAAGGCATTGGAAACATAACTTTTTAAACATAGAAGAAATTATTTGTAATTTCTGAATCCTTTGTGAAGTTTGAGGTTGTTTTTATGATTTACTGAGACCATATTAATCAAAGAAATGTAAATGTGAAGCTAAAAATGTGCCTTTAATTATATTTCAATTCAGAAAAAAAGAACAAAAACATAGTCTTTGATAACTTGATGATCAAACAACAAGACAGAGACTTAAGTTTAAGAAAGTCACATTTGAGGGCAACTTCTAATCTAATTCAAATGTTCAAGACAATTAGCAAAGGTGATGTGCCGAAAAACTCTAAAATCCATTGGATTAATTGATTTTTAGCCACCGACAGATGGCATAACGTGACATTTCCCTGCGTACTGCCTGTGCTATTTTGACATTAGCAATTAGCCATCCTTGAGTTCTTGAGTTTCAGCCTGAGAGAACGGCACCCCCCTCGTCGCCGAGATGATGCCAGCAGGAGGCTTGTCTTTGGTTCAAAATAGACTTGGGATTTGGTGGCTTCTGGAAAATGACACTTTTGTATTGTTTGTATTTTTTGAAAGAAAATGTATGTTCACAATATTGAGGCTGACTGCTTTAGATTTAGGGATAGATGTTTGCTTTGACCTAAAAACATTGTTTGGGTTTTGGAAAGAGAATGACTGTAAATCCACTGGTGACAGACGATCCCAGGCTTTTCTCTGTTGTGGTTGAACAAGAGTTGGCTGATTGTTCATTCACACACAGGGTGTTCTTCATTTAAGCTCCAACATTTGTGTCTGGGCCTTTATCAAATTCAGCCTCATTTCTTTTCATTTTGATGTGAGATTTTAATTTGAGAGAAGATTTTCCAATGAAACTAGTAAGTTGTGTTCCCTTAAATTCACAGTAATATGCAATTTCTCGCTTGTAATTCAATATATACTGTATGTGCTTCAAAAATCCCAGTATAGATGAAAGATATACTGTATTAGAGACAATTTACCCTTTCATTTCCTGCGTTCATTATATGTGATGTTGAAATAAGCATGACAAAGATATGTCAGATACTTTAGACATCCTTGAGACATAATCATCCAAGATTCATCGAGGCGTCACAAAGATATGTATAACAAATAAAACAGATATCTGAGACATCCTTCAGACATAGAAGATAACATATGAGAAAATAGTTGTTTGAAACGGGTGGTTTTTATCTTAATCTGAGGACATTCTGACTGTCTTAAAACCAGATTTGCCAATGGGACAAGGCCGTTTAGTGTTATTTAAAGAACCGTTGTTTTTATTCCAAGGGAGACACTTCTTGTGACTTAAAACATAATAATAATAATTTCTTGTTCCATTGGGCAGTCCAAGGCTGTCAAAATGTCTGATCCAATCAACTTTATCTATACAGCACATTTTATAAAACAATTTTCCAAAGCGCTGCATGTAGAGATAAAAGTTGAAATAACCAGGTTTGCAAGCTTTATACTATTTTTACATTTTTTTAAAGAGGAAGTAAAACATTATGTACGCAGTAAAACAAAAGATAAGATAGACTTTATTGATCTGTAACTGGATAACTGGTGTTTAATAAATTGATAATATACCAGTTATCCAATTTAAAAATAAACTAAAACAAAATACAATAAAACAAATAAAAAAGTTAAAACAGAGGACCACACAACAGTGTTAAAGTAAGTAAATACGTCTTAAGACAAGACTTATTTTTTGTCAGCTTTTGCAGTGTATACAGTAGTTCATCCAAACTTGTTTCATTTCCAAAATCATCTATCATGATTCTGTACAGTTTTTTTTAAGCTGCAACTAAGTTATTTTAGTGTGAAAATGTGCTATCTTCAGCCATCCAAACAAAAATACTGTATAATAACAGGTGAAGCAATATTATCACCTTTACAACAAAATATTGTAGTTAAGGTGATATTGTTACGGGTCATCCAAACCCTCTCGGCTTACATTTGTTAAAACCTGATGTTGTGCAATGGGTTTAATGTTGTAATGATTTAAAATAAAACATTTGTGCAGTAATCTGTATTGTTGATGGTCAGATCAAGGCTAGCTTAAATCTATATCTAGCTGTGCAAGAATTATAAGCTTATTTTGAGATTTGTGGTGCAATATTTTGGTCATGGCTAAATCCTAAATAAGCAATATTTACTCAAATCAAGAATAGATTTGCTCAAAATAAGATATAATATCTTCAAATAAATACTTGAAACTAGTGTATAAGGCTTAAAATAGATTTAGAATATTTATCTTGTTTTAAGAAATCTTAAAACTTGGAAATATCTTACTGCACTGGCAGATAATTTCACTTGAAATGAGGCTTTTTTTACCCTAAAACAAGATACATTTTTTATTTTAAGTAAGGTATTTTTTGCAGTGTATGAAATTGACCTGGTCTTTCTATAACAGTGCCATGCATACTACATACAGTCCACCCACTCCAGACTTACTAATCAGACTCGGGGCAATCAAACGTAGCTGTACAATGATGAGCTAAACTAATTACAATTAAATACAAGTTGAAGAGCCATAAGTAATCCAGCTGTTTGCGTTGGCAGACTCCCTGGTGAGAGCGGAAGAGGAGCAGTGATTTCCCCGAGGTGGACGTGCCATTTAGGAGCGCTTCATTGTTGTGGGCGAGATCCATTAGCCGCTATATAAGACATATTTCATCTAAACAACTGTTAATGGAAAATAAAGTGTTCTCTATTCTATACGTTTGACAATGACTCATATGAAATGGGGCGGGCAGTGTTACAAACCGGGAGGGAGGGGCCGTTCCTCTGTGTCTGTACACCCTCGGACTAAATATACACTTTGTTAATTGGATACATCATGTTATAAAATATGAAAGATGAGTAATGGCACTCAAGTCATTCACATACAACATTTAAACAGCTTCAGTCCTGGATCTACAGTCTCAGTCCTGGGTCTACAGTCTCAGTCCTGGATCTACAGCCTCAGTCCTGGTTCTGCAACCTCAGTTCCGGTTCTACAGCCTCAGTCCTAGTTCTACAGCCTCAGTCCCCTGGATCTACAGCCTCAGTCCTGGATCTACAGTCTCAGTCCTGGTTCTGCAACCTCAGTTCTGGATCTACAGCCTCAGTCCTGGTTCTACAGCCTCAGTCCCCTGGATCTACAGCCTCAGTCCTGGATCTACAGCCTCAGTCCTTGTCTGAAAGCCTATGCGACACTCATCTTGACGTCTGTACTTGAACGCCTCACCACGGGAGCGGCGCGCGTTCACAGCACAGACTGTGTGGTGCCATATTGACGCTGCTACGGAGGAGAGGACTTTGTTTATTGTTTGTGCGTTTTGTGACTCAAGAAGTAAGTTGCTGTAGGCCTACTGTTCCTCACACGAGTTCGGGAAGGAAGGTTTACTTATATAGTTCGTCCATATTTGTTAAACAGTGGTTTTCCTGATCTGTGTTGTTTTCAGCTAGTAATCTAAAGATGCTACTCTATGCTAATATGACCCGTCATGTATACTTTCCTGCACCCTTGTACTAATAGTGCTATTTCAGTTACCTCTGTTCGTGTTTTACACCACTTAGTTACATATTTATGTTAACCTCACATAGACCTTAAAGGGTACCTATGTTGTACTTTATGTTATCATTTTTCCTGATTTATTGTAGCTCCTATTAGTCCAAATACATTGACTATTTATCGTTTATTATGTTATTCATTATATAATTATTATTAATACTGTTTTTTCTTTGTCCCTTTCTGTTTCCATAGCCACATACACACACAATGTACAAATTGTGACAAATTGACAACCCGGCATTAAAGCTGAGTGAAGATTCTCTGACCGGAGTCTGTCTGTAGTGTCCCCAAACCAGAAAGAAACCACTCCATTCTTTACATTGGTCCTTCGAGCCGGATTGGTTCCACTAGAGGCGCTATGGACTCAGCTGATCAAGATCCTCCATCCTCCAGACCCAAGAGAGACCTTCGTCTACCAGAGCATTTGGCCGAATATGATGTCGTCCTCCTTCCCTCTCAGCAGCCCGCTGCCCAAGTCTCCTCACTTCCAGTAGGACAACCCGGCAAGCGTAAGCCTTCCAGAACCGGGAGTACATCAGGATATCAGTCATCTACAAGTTCACGACGGTCTTCTCGTTTATCCCTGGGGAGTCAACTACTGAAGAATATGCCAGATGTTAAAGCAGCTGCGCTGGAAGAGCAGATCAGAGTTATGGAGCTTGCAGACCTGCAGCAGGAGATAGAAGAGGAGAGAGAAGCCGATTTGGAAGCCAAGACGTTGGAGGAACAAGTTAAAGAAGGACAACGGATGCAAGAGGAAGCATACCTTGCCAAGGAAAGGATGGCCAAGGAGATAGGACGGCGCAGACGCCTGAAGAAGTTGGAGAAGGAAATTAAGATTGCCAGTGCTGTAAAGTGCTTTCTATCCGAATCAGAGGATGAAGCAAAAGGTAAAGTGACGATCCCACCCTTTTCTGATGGGATTATGTCTCTGACATCCACTCCTAGACCGTCTCTTCCACCTTCCCATGTTGCTCAGCATCCAGCACAGCCACAGCAGCACCCAGATCAGGTACAGTCCCTTCTTACTCTTCCTGTTGCTCAGACGTTTACAACCGCCAATGCTAGTGCTTGGCTGCCACCCAATATACCGGTGTCTACCTATACTCCTCCCACGGTACCCCCTCCTATATCTGCTGTACCTATTAGCCAACCTATCCCTGCCGCAACAGTGCCACTAATGAGGCCTCCTGCTGTCACTTCCGTCAGTCAGCCCCAACGCCCGGAGCCAACAGCTGCAAGCATCGGGAGCATAGTCCCATTTCCAGCTGTTGGAGCTGTTCCCCCACCTCCAGTTGTGCAATACACAGCACCTATAATCCCAGATGTGAATCGAGGTCTGCCAGCACAACCATGGTCATATCCTAGCATAGAGACCTTGATTGCCTCGTCCTATGGCATCCCCAAGCCAGCACTTCCTGCTTTCGAAAGTGGGCGAGAAAGTGATTTCGCTCTACTTAAGATGGCACTGGACAATCTGATGAGCAGCCACCCTCACCTCAGCGAGCATTATAAGTATCAAGTTCTCCTGAGTCAGCTTAAACTTCCCAGTGCATTGCAGCTAGCCAAGTCATACATGTATGATCCCAGACCTTACACTGCAGCACTAGGTGCCCTTCAAGACAAATATGGCCAACCTAGACAGCTGGTCCAAAGTGAGCTAGGCTCAATACTCAACTCACCAGCCATTAAGTCGGGAGATGCCGAAGCTTTTGACTCCTTCGCCCTCTCAGTCCAGTCTCTGGTTGGTATGTTACGCACCCTAGAGGGAACCGTCGGATATGAGCTCAGGTGTGGCTCCCATGTCGACCGCCTTTTAAGTAAGATGTCCCTGGCCCACAGAGATGGATTCGTGGAGTACTGTCTTTGTCGAGGCATCTTGCAGCCAGGTACGGATATAACCTACACTCTGCCCGACCTTGCAGCCTGGCTACAGATGAAAGCTCAAGCTAAACGCCTGGCCAGTCGGGCCACTCATCTCTACAATCCTGGGCCTCTTCCATCCAAGAGGGAACAACATGGTTCAAAGTGCAAAGACAGAGCTGCTTCAGTCTTCCTGTGCTCTGAGACAACCAAAGACAGGCCGACCACTCCACAGAAGCCACAAGCTTCAAAGTTTACACCATACTGCCCATTCTGCAATAATAAAGAACACTATCTCAATTCTTGTCTTGAGTTTAAGAAACTGAATTTGAGCGAGATCAAGAAGTGGATCCAGGAGGGTGATAGATGTTTCAAGTGTGGTCGCAATCATAAGGCTGCAGCGTGTACCCTCAAACGCCCTTGTAAGACATGTAAAGAGACCCACCTTACAGTTCTGCATGACGTCATCCAAGAGTTATCCCAGAGAGTCCTTACGGTGAGTCATCGGGAACCCACGGTCTACATTGAACAGCCCAGAAGCCCTCAGAGAGTCCTGTTGAAGATCGTTAAAGTGCTCTTACAACATGGAAACCGCACTTTGGAGACGTTTGCAGTACTCGGCGATGGCTCTGAAAGGTCGATTCTACTCCCACATGCTGTAGAGCAGCTTCAACTCATTAAGCATCCTGAAACTCTGCACCTGAGGACTGTCCAACAAGAAGTGAAGGAGCTACATGGTTCTTCTGTCAGTTTCCACGTCTCACCCATCTTCAAGCCAAACAAGAGGTATCGCATTGACAACGCTTTTACATCCAACAGTCTGAGCTTATCCGAGCACACTTACCCTGTAGCAGATCTCCAGAAGCGCTTCGAGCATCTCAGAAGGCTTCCGTTGTCGGCGATCCACAGAGCGCAACCACTGCTACTCATTGGTTCAGATATGCCACATCTCCTTACCCCAACTCAGCCCGTGCGCACTGGTCCCTCTGGTGGTCCAATAGCCATCTGCACCAGACTAGGCTGGTCACTTCAAGGTCCGTCAGAGATTGCGGCAGTCTCATCCCATCATTCTTGTTTGCACATTGCCACAGAGTCCCCCTACTCTGTACTTATGAAGAATGTGGAACGCCTTTGGCAGATCGATACACTCCCTTATATCAGCGAGAAGATGGCGTCTCGTTCCAAACAAGACCAACAAGCAGTTACTCTTCTGCAGACTACCTCTGAACGTGTATCTATCGACGGCATCCAACGCTATGCTACTCCACTCTTACGCCGTCAATCCAGCACTACCCTTCTGGCACCCCCAGACGCTGCGATGCCCAGCCTACGCAGAATTGAACGCCGATTGGCCAAAGATCCTGCACGAGCAGCCTCCTACCGCAAAGAGATGGATAAACTTGTACAGGCTGGCTATGTCGCTGAGACCCCCTCCGACATAGTATCGAAGTCCACAGAGTTGTGGTACGTACCGCATCATATGGTGCACCACAACGGAAAGGACAGGGTCGTCTTTAACTGCTCCTTCTCTTACCAAGGCCAGTCCCTCAACGACAATCTTCTTCCTGGGCCTACGCTGGGTCCTACCATGATTGGGGTCCTGCTCCGATTCCGTCGCCATGCTGTTGCCATAAGTGGGGATATCAAGGGGATGTTCCACCAGATTCGCTTACTGCCCTGCGACAAACCACTTCTCAGATTCCTCTGGCGGGATATGGAAGTTACGTCTGAACCACGGATCTTCGAGTGGCAAGTGTTGCCTTTCGGGACAACCTGCAGCCCCTGTTGTGCCGTCTATGCCCTGCAGCAGCATGTCAGAGACCATGAGCCACCAGACTCGCTCCTTATGCAAGTGATTGAGCATTCATTTTACGTTGACAACTGCCTTCATAGTATGAGTCAGGTTGAAGAGGCCAAGGCCCTGATTGACCATCTCCGAGCACTTCTGATTAAAGGTGGTTTTGAGATCCGTCAGTGGGCAAGCAACGTGCCCGAAGTTGTGGCACACCTACCTCCCGAAGCCCAGTCAGCTAGCAGTGAGCTGTGGCTATCCAAAGCCAGCGATAATCTCGACGAACCTGCTCTCGGGCTCACCTGGGATTGTTTGGACGATACATTGAGCTACAAGCATCAGGCCGCTGACACCACACCGGCCACACTCAGACATGTCTACAGTGTTCTTGCCAAGCTCTACGACCCACTCGGTTACATCGTACCATTCACTACCAGATGTAAGGTGCTTATCCAGGACATGTGGAAGTCCAACATTGGCTGGGATGACCAGATACAGCCCACAGACCTCCTGGACAAGTGGTTGAGCTGGGTACAAGAGATCCCCGCTTTACGGCACCTCAAGTTACCACGCTGTTATGCTCCAGGTTCTGTCGATTCGGCCACTGCTACTGTGCATGTTCACATCTTCTGCGACGCATCTGAGCGTGCATATGGGTCGGTTGCTTACATGCAGACAGTGGATCCCAATCAGCACAATCACCTGTCGTTTGTGTTCGCCAGATCACGAGTTGCACCCAAGAAGCAGCTGTCCATCCCACGTCTTGAACTAAGTGCTGCCCTTACCGGTGCTCAGCTTGCCAGAGTGATCGAGACAGAGCTTGCCATCCCACCTGAGCATATCACTCTCTGGTCGGACTCCACAACCGTGCTGCATTGGATTAAGTCAGAGTCCTGTCGTTATAAGGTGTTCGTGGGGACCCGTGTCACAGAGATCCAGAACCTGACGGACCCCTCGCAGTGGCGCTACGTTAACACGGAGAGCAATCCTGCGGATGACATTACCCGTGGACTCAGTCTGCAGGATATGATACAAGAACATCGCTGGAACAAAGGTCCACACTTTCTGTACCTGCCAGAAGCTGAGTGGCCCACCATGCCGTCCTCATCTGAAGTGGAATATGATGCAGCGGAGTTGAAGAAATCTGCTTTTATCGGCGTAGTGTCCACTACTCAATCTTCGCAGCTTCCTGACCCTACCCAGTGCTCCACCTGGAAGCAGCTTCTTCGAGAGGCAGCTACCTCTCTTCACGGGGCGGCTGATGCAAGCTCCCCTTCAGCATGCTCAGCAGATAACTTTCTACAAGCGGAGAAGTTGCTGTTGCAGAAGGCTCAAGAAGACTGTTTTCCCGAAGAAATAAAGGCCCTAAAAGCTGGTCGTTCCCTCCCATTGGACAGCCGTCTTGCCTCTCTTTCACCAGAATATGAGGAAGCCACAGGACTATTGAGAGTCGGTGGAAGGTTGCGGCACGCCACAGGGCTGGATCTGGATACCATCCATCCTATCATCTTGGACCCGAAACACTCTGTGACCCAGCTCGTCATCAAGGACACAGACAATTCGTTGCTACATCCAGGTCCGGAACGAGTTCTTGCTGAACTTCGTCGCCGCTTCTGGATTGTACGAGGAAGAGAGGCCATAAGGAAGCACCAGCATTCGTGTGTTGAATGTCAACGATGGAAAGCCAAGCCCGATGTTCCCAAGATGGCTGACTATCCACCCCCTCGACTTCGTCTCCACAAGCCTCCCTTTTACTCAACAGGAGTCGATTGTTTTGGGCCGTTTCGAGTCAAAATTGGCCGCCGCACCGAAAAGAGATGGGGAATAGTCTATAAGTGCCTGACGACGCGCTCGGTACATTTGGATCTACTGGAGAGTCTTGACACAGATGCTTTCTTGCTGTCATTGAGAAGATTTATTGCACGACGTGGCAAGCCATTCGAACTCCTTATGGACAACGGTACCAATTTCGTTGGTGGAGAGCGCGAACTGCGAGAAGCGGTTGCTTCAATGGCTTCACAATTGAAGACACAACTTTCAGAACATCAGATATTCTTCAGGTTCAATCCTCCAAGCGCTCCGCACTTTGGTGGCACTTGGGAGAGGGAGGTGAAGTCTGTCAAGATGGCCCTCAGAGTCGTGCTCAAAGACCAGACTGTTCCTGAACCTGTTCTTATGACGACGCTGGTGGAAGTTGAAGGCATAATGAACTCTAAACCCTTAGGTTACCTATCTTCGGACGCTTCAGATCCAGACCCAGTCACCCCTAACCTGCTCCTTATGGGTCGCCACGACGCATCTCTACCGCAAGCAGTTTATGACCCCGGTGATCTGGGAAGAAGGCGCTGGAGACACAGCCAAGCTCTTGCTGACCACTTCTGGTTATCTTTCACCCGACATTACCTACCAGGTCTCCAAGAGCGTAGCAAGTGGCGAAAGGATGGGAAAGCCCTTTCAGTCGGTCAAGTCGTACTAATAGTGGATCCTCAACTTCCTCGAGCATCGTGGCCAGTCGGACGGATTACTCAGATACACCCAGGAGCAGATGGACGTGTCCGAACAGCCAGCGTTCAAGTCAAAAGCCGCACCTTCCTTCGTCCGGTAGCCCGACTCATCCTGCTCCCACCTCTTGGAGATACAGACGATGAGGACATCTAGACATAGGCTTTCTTCTTGTTTTTTCAACTGCCACGTGGACAGTTGGGGGCGGCTGTGTCTGAAAGCCTATGCGACACTCATCTTGACGTCTGTACTTGAACGCCTCACCACGGGAGTGCGTTCACAGCACAGACTGTGTGGTGCCATATTGACGCTGCTACGGAGGAGAGGACTTTGTTTATTGTTTGTGCGTTTTGTGACTCAAGAAGTAAGTTGCTGTAGGCCTACTGTTCCTCACACGAGTTCGGGAAGGAAGGTTTACTTATATAGTTCATCCATATTTGTTAAACAGTGGTTTTCCTGATCTGTGTTGTTTTCAGCTAGTAATCTAAAGATGCTACTCTATGCTAATATGACCCGTCATGTATACTTTCCTGCACCCTTGTACTAATAGTGCTATTTCAGTTACCTCTGTTCGTGTTTTACACCACTTAGTTACATATTTATGTTAACCTCACATAGACCTTAAAGGGTACCTATGTTGTACTTTATGTTATCATTTTTCCTGATTTATTGTAGCTCCTATTAGTCCAAATACATTGACTATTTATCGTTTATTATGTTATTCATTATATAATTATTATTAATACTGTTTTTTCTTTGTCCCTTTCTGTTTCCATAGCCACATACACACACAATGTACAAATTGTGACAAATTGACAACCCTGCATTAAAGCTGAGTGAAGATTCTCTGACCGGAGTCTGTCTGTAGTGTCCCCAAACCAGAAAGAAACCACTCCATTCTTTACAGTCCTGGTTCTACAGCCTCAGTCCTGGTTCTACAGCCTCAGTTCTGGTTCTACAGCCTCAGTCCTGGTTCTACAGCCTCAGTCCTGGTTCTACAGCCTCAGTCCTGGTTCTACAGCCTCAGTCCTGGTTCTACAGCCTCAGTCCTGGTTCTACAACCTCAGTCCCGGTTCTAAAGCCTCAGTCTCCTGGTTCTACACCCTCAATTCTCATTCTACAGCCTCATTCCTGGTTCATCAGGCTGAGTCCTGGTTCTACAGCCTCAGTCCCGGTTCTACAGCCTCAGTCCTGGTTCTTCAGGTTGTGTCTTGGAGATCCTTGGAAGCCGATCCCTGTCTCAAAATGCGCCTCCTCGAGGTTTCTTACATTGATTTCAGAATGGGTTTTTTGATTGGCTCCTTGCCGATACAGGAGGGTCTAAAGACAATTTATGGACATTTATGGACATAGGTCATCCTGCTCTCCATGCACTAACGACTTCTAAGTGTTTGTTATTACTGCATTTCCTGTATTTGAACTTATTAGAGTCTCTAGTCTGTTGTTGAAAAATCTGCAACTCCTCTAAGATGACTGCTATTGTGATTTGGGGCAATACAAAAATAAATTGAAAAATGACACAAATGCCAACTCTATGTGTTCAGAGCTAGAGCAAAACAAGAGTTAGTAGGAAAGTAATTATCTTTTGACATTTCAGATATTATTAATTGTAAATCTAAATTAGGAGCAGATCATGATGTGTAACAGCAGTGTCAAAAACAGTATTTAGTTGTGGGTGGTTTAAAAAAGTATATTCTCCAAACTTGTTCCAAAATAGTCATTATATATTCATTTTTTTAAAGTGTATTCATTAATTTATAGTATAATATAATTTAAAGTAGTATATTGTACATTATGTATTTTAATAGGCAGTTGATAGGTAGGGTAGTACTCCGTTTTCCCCTAACATAAAAACAACTCCAGAACTTACGGGTATACAGGAGGATTTTCTACTTCCGGGTGGATCAACAAGACTATTGGTCCTCCTAATTGTCAATCAATCTGGTGATGATTGACAATTAGGCAAAAAGTGGAGAGGGCGGTTCTTTCTTAAAATTTGGGTAAATCCTCCTGTAGACCTTAAACTTAACTTTAACCTCTCTCTCTCATACAGCACAAAATTCACAGACTCAGACAAAGCCCAAACACTCTCTGGCCCTACAGCAAGTCCAATTTCGGCCGTCAACCCAATAAAAAAGTATCTCAAAGAAGAAGATAAGAAGATATTCCTTTATTGGTTCCACAGTGGGGAAATTTCAGTGTTAACAGTAAGAGAGAGGAGCACACGGTACAAGCTAAGTGAACAATAGCTGTACTAATTAAAATAAAACAATATCTCGATCTCTAGCATCAAATATAAAATCTCTGTCTTGAAAATAGTAATAATAATAAAAAGAAGGGTAACATTTATTTGGCAAAATAAGAGGCTAAGAAGTATAAAGTACTGTGTATTCTAGTGCAAGCAATATGTAGTTACAGTATGTTAGCATCTGTACATGTTAGCAGCAGTATGTTTACATCTGTACATTAGCAGCAGTATGTTTACATCTGTACATTAGCAGCAGTATGCTTACATCTGTACATTAGCAGCAGTATGTTTACATCTGCACATTAGCAGCAGTATGTTTACATCTGTACATGTTAGCAGCAGTATGTTTACATCTGTACATTAGCAGCAGTATGTTTACATCTGCACATTAGCAGCAGTATGTTTACATCTGTACATTAGCTGCAGTATGTTTACATCTGTACATTAGCAGCAGTATGTTTACATCTGTACATTAGCTGCAGTATGTTTACATCTGTACATTAGCTGCAGTATGTTTACATCTGTATATTAGCAACATTATGATTACATCTGTACATTAGCAGCAGTATGATTACATCTGTACATTAGCAGCAGTATGATTACATCTGTATATTAGCAGCAGTATGATTACATCTGTACATTAGCCGCAGTATGATTACATCTGTATATTGGCAGCATGAGGCTCTGGGACACAGGGACTCAGTAAAGTGACAGTGACATGTGGTTATTGCACATTCTGGTATAAGATAAGGATATTGGAACGATACATGACACGTGGGATCAAGTTGGCAGTGTTCCTTAGTCCTTATTGTTTGTTGTACAGTCTGACAGCAGCAGGAAGGAAAGACCTGTGGAACCTCTCCTTCACACATTGAGGATGAATTAGTCTGTCACTGAAGCTGCTCTCCAGAGCAGAGAGAGTGTCCTGCAGGGGGTGACAGTCATGGTCCAGCATAGATGTTAGTTTGTCCAGGATCCTCCTGTCCCCCACCTATACACAAATACACATCAAGGCATGTAGCGTACACTTACTTCTGCGCTCCTTATGGGCAAAGTGGGGTAAAGTGGGATAAGTTCTTGCCCAAGGACACAACGACAGCAGACATGAGCCACTGTTGCCCATCAGTCAGTTCCCACAACGATTAAGAATAGAATAAATACATTTTCAGGACATTCAAAGATGCATGTCATTATTCTTTCACGCCAAGAACTACCACTAATGCCACTGCTGCCCTGGGGCACACTGACAAAAGCTAGGCAACCAGTATGTGCCATGTAAGGTGAAACACATCAGGGCGGGGCAGACAATCAACACCGGAACAGGACAGGAAGTAATACTGAAATGAAACCACAGAGAACAAACGTCAAAATAAAACCAAACACCGAAATAAATTCTACACCACGACAAAGCGAGGCAACCAGTATGTGCCATCAGCCCATACAACCATTCACACACACACACCAGAATCATTCTAGGCAACAAGTTTGGCACTTTACAGCCCCAACCGCCCCACTGTGGCACCTGGTGTTCCCAGAGGTCTCCCATCACAGTACTAACCAGGCCTTGATCTGCTCAACTTCAGAGGTCTGACTGGATCTGGCTCACGCAAGTAAGGCCACATAACATACCTCAGTGAGAGGCTCCGTGAAGAGGTGTAGTCAAAACATTGCTCAATATTTTCTCTGCACCAGCGCTGCAGATTGTAAACAGCTTATGGGAATCAAGAGGATTTCATCATGGAAAACGCCTAATGTAATGTAGCACGAATAAAAAATAAAAAAAACTGTCTAGTTATCACATGGATTAGCGCAGCAAAACTCAATCCAAAAATCAACTTAAAGGATCATTCATTTGCGAAAGACTCGTGTTTGAGGTGAAAGTCAACACCGCTTGCCATGTCACATCCCAAAACACCTTAAATCAAGTGCTTTAGCTAAGTGAGGTTTTTACAGTCATCCAAGCATTAGCCCTCGCTGCCTTTTCCGTGATATTTACGTAGCAATTCCCTCAGATTCCTGTTCTAAGTGGTCCGTGGAGTCTCCAGCCAAAGCTCCAATTTAAACGGCCTCTGTGCTGAAAAAAAAAAAAAAAAGCTCCATTATCCCCTCGTCATATTTTATTTGAGGGTAAATCTGGCCATATTGTTTTTGCATTTGCAGAAAAGCACATTTATCATTGATCTGCTTTGGATTAAAGTTGAATAAATGTGGCAGCGCTCTTATCTGCTCCAGTGCATTTTTTGGGAATTATGAGCATACTCGGAGATCTCACGAGGACAAAGGAGAGACTGATGGTTAAATGCCTGGGAGGGTCTGGAACTTTTTTACTTAACTCATAGTGGCTTTAACAGAGACACAAGCCTAGAGTGGAAATGGTAAGTTTACATACACTGTGTAAGAAGTCATGAAATTATTGTGTCTGAAGTTAATTCTGCTAAAAGATATGCCAAAATATATCGAACAAATTTGCTAACTTTTTGATTCGCTGAAATTGCCTTTTCACATTTTTGGGTCAAATGATGTAGGTGCTGTGCCGGAATTCTGACCCATTCCTCCTGCCAAAACTAGTAATTCATGCCCACTTCACTCACAAACCTTCTGAGATCCAAACAAAGGCTACTGTATGCTTGGGGTTAAGCGTTCATTGGAAAATCAAATAAAATCAATTTACGTTTGTGTTGCCCAAAATCACAACAGTCAACAACAATCTTGAGTTTCTTGTCCGCTTTGAATAATCACGAGTCTAAATCATTTTCATTTCCATCCCAAACCATCATAAAAGTATTAGTGAAGATTCTGACGTCTCAAATGTAATCAATGGTTTTTCTGAAACACTTTTGTATGCACTCGCCGCACGACTCGACTAAACTACAGAGGGCAGAAGAAACCCACAAGAACACAATTTGACATTTCGCTCACATTCAAATGTTTAAATAGTTGATAATTCATTTGATTGATTGCCCAGCCCAACATTGATTCTATAGGATTAACCATTGTCCATAGATGTCCCAGAGCCTTTACCCTCCAACCCTGCTGCAAGGTAAACTCTAGAGAACCATGGTGAGAAAAGAGAACCACGGTGAGAAAAGAGAACCACGTGAGTAAAGAGGACCACGGTGAGAAAAGAGGACCACAGTGAGTAAAGAGAACCACAGTGAGTAAAGAGGACCACGGTGAGAAAAGAGGACCACGGTGAGAAAAGAGGACCACGGTGAGAAAAGAGAACCACAGTGAGTAGAGAGAACCACGGTGAGAAAAGAGGACCACGGTGAGAAAAGAGGACCACGGTGAGAAAAGAGGACCACAGTGAGTAAAGAGAACCACAGTGAGTAAAGAGGACCACAGTGAGTAAAGAGAACCACAGTGAGTAAAGAGAACCACGGTGAGGAAAGAGAACCACAGTGAGTAAAGAGGACCATGGTGAGAAAAGAGAACCACAGTGAGAAAAGAGGACCACGGTGAGAAGTTACATAGTGTCTGCAGCTAGACTGACAATCTGTTTTTTAACTTAAAGTTGTATTTCTAAGTCTTACCTACCGAGCTTTATGCTGAATTAAAGAGGACTGACCTTGAATGTAGAGACAGTGTCTGCTTCTTTAATGTGGCTGAGGAGCTGAATCCACAGGATAGGAGCTTGGTTCCCAAACGCTGAATCACCAGAAACACCACTGCGGTATGAGAGCAGAAGTTCCCATGTCCTCCCTGTGTCTCCTCCTGTAGCACACACTCCTGAGCAGAGCAGACTCTTGGTCAGAGTCTTGGACTCTTGGTCAGAGTCTTGGACTATTGGTCAGAGACTTGGACTCTTGGTCAGAGACTTGGACTTGTGAGTCAGAGACTTGTATGCATCTCTGCATCACAGACTCACTATGAGAGGACACTTGAAAGAAAATGATGACAGAACATCACGTCTTCAAACAGGACGTTAAACTCCAAATGCGTCTCCATCGTGTGAGCTTCCACTGTGTCACTGCAGCTGTCTTTCTGTCCAATCAAAACGTTTTAAAACCAGTGTAATAGATACAAAGTGTGTTTTACTATGTTAAGTTATGTATTTTTGCAACAACAGTGGTACTTGAACCCCATTGATGATGGTCAAGATGAATTCAATTAAATTTATTCTTGTATAGTCCTAAATCACAACAGTAGTTATCTCAGAGGACTTTACAAAACGTAGGGTCTTGAACAATGTACAATATTTATTCAAATACACTCATGTTGTGTAGGTCAACTAAAGTCCTGGATACAGGAGCAATCACCACTTTTTTTGCACCTCCTGGAAGTTTATCTCCACTTTCTTCTCTGAGTTTTTTCTTGCTGACACGGCAGGTCTAAGGACTAAGGTATAAGGCCCTGAAACAGATATCCATTTGACTGCTTCCTGTTAAAGTTGGTTAATCTGCTTGTCTTGTATTGAACTATGGTCTATATAAAAACAAATTGAGTGGAAATATGGAGCAGGATTCAGAATCAGGACACTTTATTCCACAGAAGAAGCGCCTGTGGACTCTCACCACAGCTCACTGCAGTGAAAGCAAAGCATTTTAAAATCCTCCACTCCGTGTCTGTTTACTTTTTATGGAATTCTCAATGCTTTTGCATGAAGGTCTTTGCAGAATTTCTCTATTGTTTCAACAACACAGAAAGCTCTTGAGAGGCCCAGACGCTGCAGATAAGCGCATCAGCCATTACCGGGTTCCTTCTTCAGACCTATTAGGTCTTGCAAGGACTTCAAACACCAATTTGTTCTGCAAATAGCCCATTCAATTTGTGACTGCCAGGGAGAGACACCTCTCTCCCTCTCTGCAGTAATTGAATCTTCAAAGGGACATTTTCCTCTATTTCTGTCAGGTATTAGAGTGATGAATAGCAAGCGGTCATTTGAACAGAGAGAGTGGCTACATGTTTATCCATTTTCAGTTAGATGCTCATCATGTGCCTTGATGATTGTCGGGCTGTTCACTCAATGGCATCTTTAATAGGGTTTTTTCTATTCTAAAGCAGACAACTCATGCTCTCCCATCAGCTTTTTGAATGAAAGATAAATTCTTGTAGAGTAGCAAATGGGATCTCGAAGTAATTATGCCATTCAGACATAATGGCGCCTGTGACAACACTTCTCTGCTAAAAACAAGGCAGTCAGGCTTCGTGACAGCGAAGCGCTAAGTGTCTCCGCACCCATAATTAGAAAATCTGTAAACTCCTCTAAAGTGAATTGCAACTTGGGGTAAAATTCAACCGCAACAATGAGTTAAGGAGACTTAAATTGTCCATATTTATTTTATTAATTAAATACACCATAGTGGAGCAAATGTCTCGGAAAATATCACAAATAAATTCTCTTTCATTCAGCATTTATATGTAGTTGATGAGCTCTACATCGGTGACTATGGGCTTCGTACTTTGGGTACATGGGGTTGTTTTGGGAACAGGAGGAAATCCAGATCCGGGACGTCCTGTAGCCACATCTGAACAACGACATTTACATGCATACTGTACATACATGGAACTTTTACAAATACATCAAAGTCTCATGATTTGTTTTGCACAAAAAGCCACAGATTTTAAAACCCATCTTTTTTTATATATACCACCAAAGGAAACAAAACAAAAATCATTCCCCTTTTTGACAACTTTTTCAAATATAGAAACACTGCGTCGCTTTGAGGGGACCAGGATAGAAAAGAAAAAAAACATGACAAGGTCCCGCTTTTTTTCCTCCAAAGTCTTTTTTAACAAATGTGCAGTTTTGAAAAGCCTGCGTTTGTCCATTTTCTCCCCCGACATATTCTGATTTCTCTTTCCTCGAAGAGTCTGTTAAGTTGAATCTTCTTTTCTTTTCATTCCGTGCTCACGTAGAGTCCTGATCCAGGTGCATTAAGTGCAAGTATCCAGTAGCCATAATCGAGGGAAAGGGGGGAGGCTTGAGCGGCGTGGATATATAGGAGAGACTGGAGGTTGGTTTTCGTGTGAGGGGGGATTCCTTCAGGGCAAAAAGGGCCTGGGATCCAGTCCGTCTCAGGTGACAATGAGTTAGGGCGGGAAAAAAATGAAGGCACACTTCCTGCTGCTCGCTCGCCGTCGGACCTAACAAACCTGAGTGCAGAAAGAAAGAGAAATAGAGAGAGAAAAAACAGAAGATGAACAATCTGGCAACCTGTCATTCACAAAACACCGCTGAGCTGACACGTCAACTTTCCCCAGTCCCGCCGAGGCCCCGCGTTCATTTATTGATCATCCAGCCTTTGAAAACCATCTGGTGTCCCATTTACAGTGCATTAGACCCGGGACACAGCGAGATTCTGACGAGATAACCTTGAGGCGGTACAGTAAATGACTCACCGGCTCGCGAATAGGTTTTTGTCTTTGTGCGAGGTAAAATAACTCAAATATGTTTTTAAGTTTTAAGTATTTTTTGGTTTTGAAGGTATTTGTCGAGTTGTTTCGCCATATTGTTTTACACTTATTCAATTCAATGTATTTGTGTAAAGCCCTAAATCACACTCAAGTATCTGATTTGGTTATAATTTCATAATTTACTTTTGGCACCTGGTGTTAGAAAATGTGCTTTACAAATAAACCTGACATTGACATAATTTAATTTGTTATGATTTAGTAAACAAGAGCCCAAACCTGGCACATTAGTCAAAAATACCCATACCAGAAAATACCAACCCACTCTTTTAGTTTTTCAAATCAATATATCTTTTTATACCCCTATATCACAACAACAGGACTTTACAAAGTTGTCGATTCACCAACAACAGATAAGAGAAGGGAAACGCAACAATAACAAGCACATAGAAGCCATTGGTTCATAGGAAGCAGGATGAACAATGTCCATAAATGTTATTAAATGTCCATAAATGTCCCGGATCATCATTTCCCGGAGACCTTCCACCATCGGCAAGGAACAACTCAAAAAAACAAACAAAACAGTGAGAATAAAGTGAGAAACCCCGGGGAGCCCCATTACTAATCTACAAAACAACTCTACAAAGATTTTCCAGTTTGTATTATATCTAAAGCTGGGGTGCTTAACGTTGTAACCTAATAAATGACACGTGTAGTTTGTCCCAACAGAAAGAGTTTTGTAAATGTAAAATGTTGATCTGTTGTTTTAATCGTATTAGTTTGTAGAAGGAAGTCATATCAGGAAAAATATTAAAAGCCTCATGTTATTTATTATTAGGGCATTCCGTGCCACTGCCTTTCGTATGATTTGTTCTTTTTTTCAGGACCAGAATCCCTGAGAGTCACTTGTTGACACTTTTGGCGGAGAGTGAGGTGAGGTGGTTCTATTCTAATGGGCTATATGCACGGGGAGGCTTTCAGGTGAGTTGTAGTGACGTTTTTTAGTAATTAGATTTATACATTCAGCTGTAAGACTGACCCAAAAGTGTCGAAGTGCTTTCTCTCTGAGGTAGAGCTTTGACTGTGGCCTCTCAGAGAGATTAGTTAACTTCATAAAATCACAATGACAGCACAATCAAAAAGCACTGTTTTGTCCCAAAAATGCTCAGTATCCTCACAGTTTAATTCCCGTTTGAGCATTATTTAGGAAACTCGTGTAAACATCTGCTGAACTCCAGTGAAACTCAAGCCGTTCTCCGCGAACAGGAAGTGAAGTGGGGTTATAACTAAAACGCGGAAGTGGTGCGTGCATAGAGCCCATTCTCTTTTGTGTCTGATAAAGCTGATCTAAACATTTGAGAGAGGCTAAAAAAAATGCCTTCCTCTGAAAACTAGTGATAGAACCAAACTGCCTTAGAGCCAGGATTGTAATAACTTGGTTCGATTGTTTATGATTTTAAAGATAGGTAACCCAGCTTTAAAGTCCATTCACATGAGTCCATACTTTCCTGTCAGACCAGGAACTGCTTTGGTGATGTGAGACCTTGATTGAGCTAGAGTATAAAGAAATCAACTGAATAACTTTAAAATATGATAATCAACTTTACAAATGAATTTAAAGCATCCTAGTTTCATGGAGATACTTTCCGTGCTCAATGAATAGAATTAAAGTGAAGAAAATGGCTTTTTGATTCATCTTTGGGAGATTAAAGGGACAGTATGGAACTTCTAAATATTCATGGTTCAGAGCAGTGGTGTCAAACTGGTCCTCAAAGGCCCGGTGTGGCTGCAGGTTTTCATTCCAACCGAGCAGGAGCACACCAGAAACCACCCATTTCCTCAAGTGAGTCCAATCTTTACCTACAAGCCTATAAGCTAACGCAGCTTCCTGGGAGCTCCCTTCTACAAAGCCCTTACAAACCAAATTGAACCTGGAGACCTGAGGAAATGGGTGGAAAGTGCTTGGTTGGAATGAAAACCTGCAGCCACATTTCATCTATCTGGAACCGGTTAAGAATCCCCTGGTTTAGTGTATATAAACTTTAAGATGTTTGTAATCTATCAAAGTATCGGTGTGAGTTCCCGCTTCTGTAAATAGGTGTTTAGAGACTTCGACAGCGTGACTAAACTTCGTGTTAAGTCGACAGGACGTCTGGAGCCCGGAGTCTACCTTCAAACCAGCGCGAAGATCTATCCTGCGCCTTCTCTGAGCCATCAACCGCGGGCTTCAGTGGGGCCTTGTTTAATTTATTGATCAGCCAGGCTTTGAAACCCATCTGGTGTCCCATTTACTTTGCATTAAGTTAAAAGTGCATCCATGAAGCGATTCTCTTTGGTATAATTATAACGGCGCTCCAACATATCCGCGGGAGGCGCTGGGTCCTGTGAAACCCAAACCCGCCGCGGAGTAAAGACAATTATCCGTCTGAGTTCAACTTTTTCATCTCTTCCTGTTTTTCTTTTGCCCTTTTTACATGATTCTGAGGAGTGATTTACTTTCCCCTTCATCCTTCAAATCACTAGGAGGGCTTGAGTCTATTAGTAATTGCAAACTCCTACTTGGGGGCTAATTAAAGTGACTGACGCTGGGAGGGTCTCACTCCCCTGGGTCAGAGCTGCTCTGTAGGAGAGAGGTAATTTGTCTGCTCTGAACAAAGAGATTAGGAAGAAGCCGAGAAGAAAGCTTAATAAATGAGCATCAAATGTCCTACGCTGCGAATGCACACGGCACCAATTATACGAGCGCAGAATCGCACATGATCAGAACTGCGGCGGTTTTGCAGATAAACCTTAAAGCTTTCTGTGCATGCGGTGACTGCTTAATTCAGACGGCCTCTTCCCCAACCCGCGTTCTATATTCAATTTATGTTTTGCAGCTGAGGATACATGAGCGATATTGATTTTGAGAAGCGCTCTCCGCAAGCTGTTCTGCTGCTGGAAGTCGGAGGCCGTCCAATTTCTGTTTTTTTTGGTGAAAAGGGGGAATGTTTGCGGCGCTAACACGCTTTAGCAGCAGGATCATTCTCCTTTATTTCACTCAACAAAAGCATCCTGAGACAGTCCCGCTGCGGCGCGCCTCTCTGTTTATTTAATAATTCTCTCTCTGCTATAATTAAAGCACCAGGGCCAATATTCAAATTGCATTTTAGCATCAATAATTCAGCGCTTTTCACTACAATTGATGTTAGCGCATAAATAAAGAATGAAGCCTCATATTTACTGCTGCAGCTGCGGTGCCAGAGACGGGCGGGGAATAAGTTAAACAGGCATTTAAAATTAAGCTAGATAATGCTTTCAATGTGAATGTGAGAGCACAGAAAGCTGATTTGTAAAAGTGACAAGGCCCTAAAAGGAGAGCACGGAGGGAAAAAGAAGGGGGGGGGGTTTAATGCAGTCCCACTCGTGAAGCACTCAAGGTGAAAACGCACGCTCCCAACCTTCCGTATCTCCGCAGCCGCCGAGGTATCAATAAAGCTGCTTGTTGTTGGAGTAAAAATGATTAGATCTGCTGCAGGCAACAATGAAGCTATCCTGAAGAATGAAGTTATCCCGTGTATATGATTAGGCCTTCTGTTTCGCTTTCACTCCAGGCGTCCAGATCAAATCAGAGGGAAGCCGCGATGACAGCTCGGTGATGGAGGAGCTAAGATGCCTGGGGCCGCGGATACATATTTGTGGCCTCTGTGTAATAACTTAACACAGGTGAGCTCCGTGTCGACAGGAGAAGTCAGACGGGGCTTCGTACGCGCTCTTCAACAGCCAACAGGTCATCCGTCAAGCGCAACAGGAAGTGGGATTTTTTTTACTTAGTCACTTTGCCCCATGCTGCTAACACGTGCAGCAACCATTTCTTGCACAAGAATATACAGTGTTTTATACTTTTTGATGCTGAAGTCAGAGATTTTATACTTTATTACGCTAAAGTTGGTGATTTTGTTTAATTTTACTATAGAGTTATTGTTCACTTAAATTGTGCTGTGTGCTACTCATTCCTACTATTCTTTAACTGGTGATGCAACACTGAAATTTCCCCACTGTGGGATGAATCTTAGCCTTAATTTGTTTAAGCACACTGGGCTGTGGCATCGACACGTTCGTATAAAGACTTGAAAAAACACATATTTTTGTTGTTTGCAAAGCAGCCAATTGCAAGACTGTATTATTTGAGTTCTCTGAAAACATAAAAAGGGAAAACAAATCACTTGGCGCTTCGGAACTCTCTTGATTTGAGTTTATTTTGAAGATTTGTCAGTAGAACAAGATCTTTCTTCTTATTGTACAGACACATTGTTTTCTCATTCTAAGAAAGTGTCAAAATGTGTCAACTCAAGTCTAACCATGAGGATGTTTTGAGAGACATTTCCAGCATTTGTGTGTATTACATTTTATCCCTCTTTTTTAATTCTCCTATTATGTATCTAACAATCTGAAGTGAGAATTGTCCAGACAATTTTTTTATCTAACTATATCTTGAAGTTGTTAGTTTTAACTCTGGAAAAAATGTGACTTTTTAAAAAGAGATAAATATCGCTGTAGGGCCCTCGATCTGACTCTGATGTTATAGGATTCAGCTTTTATATAGGACCATAAAAAGCTATGATCATTCGAAGCTAACGTTAACTTGTGTTCATCATGGGTTGCACACGATCGTCCCATGATCTCCATTCATCACCGTGTCAAAGTTTAACAGGAATAAACCCGGTCCGGCCGTCTGAACATGGAATTGGCAAGAGGAAAATGAACTATTGATTACTTAGGTTAATAAGTCCCTGGGAGAATGGCACAAATGAAATGTCCTGTAACAGCGGGTCACAGGTCAAACATGTAAATCAATTTCAATTATTTTTGTTTTCTTATTTGTGTAATTAGTATTTGAATTGCATTACCAGAATACGTCAATACAGCTAATGTTGGTTTATTGGCCAAAGAGATGGAAAAATATTTATCTTTTCAGGATTCTCATTCGTCCTACACAGAGGCAACTAGATAGTAAATAAACAACAGTCTGTGTGTATGTATCGGTGATTTTACTTAAGGGAAACCTTGGGAGGAACTACAGAAGAAAAAGTTAAACCGGTGCGTTAAAAACAGGTTATAAAATCCACTGATTGGTTGATTTGAAAGTCTCTCTTCACTGGTTACTATCCTCCTCCAGCGAATCTTACAAGCAGTGGTTGTGCCAAGGACAGGGACTTTACTGAATATATAACACAACAAAAACATATAATAAAGGGCCAGCTGGTATTTAATGAAATGCATTTGAAGCGACTGACAAAAGAAAAATCAATACAAGTATAATTAGGTATTATTTCTGGTGCTTAAACACAATAATGAGACTAAGCCGAGGCTAAGACTTTTTTCTCGGCATGTAATTCTCTTTTATACCACCAAGGCTTTGTTTTGACATCATTAATCCTTCACCTGAGAATTTGCCCAAACTTACTACGATTTTAAAAGACAAACGGCTCTGGATATAATGTCAAATAAGGATGCATATAGTGAGAGAGCCACATTAGAGTTAGACATGTTTAAGCCAGATGTGCCTGATGTATGGATTGAGCTGTATAATGCGTTATTTTTTCATCCTAAGCCCCGCCCCCTCCGTCCCAGCGACTGGAAACTTTGTATCTAGTCTTAAAATCGAGGAGTGGTCAGCTCTTAGAGGGGGTGTGTACCAGTAAAATAATGTGAAAAATGTCCCCAAAATAATATGACTCCAAATGCTAACGGCTATAAGCTAGCAGAAGTGCATAAAAATATTAATAAAAAAATTTCGTAAACCATGAAACACGAATAATAATAATAACAATACCCTAATAGCTCTTGGGTAAGAACGTACACTATTTGAACGAGCGGGAAGTAAATATGTCAAGATTGAAATCGTTCACTGATTTTGAGAGTTTTAATTTGTTTGTGAAACAGTTGGGTCCGGTCCCGCGGGCGTAACACGGGGACTGGAACTGATGTCCTCAAGGATGTTATAAAAATGGCGGGGCGTGAAAAAGGCTAAAGGTTGACAGTGTGATAAGAAAGTCATCAGTGAATGTTGTTAAAGGAACACAATTCACTTTTTTTTGTTTTGCCGTTCCTTGCCGATACAGGACAGTGATGATCCAGGGATATTCAACATTTTTTACCGTTAATGGACATCGATCAATGAACCTGTCACATGGTGGAAAGGAGGAAGACTGAAAATGCAGGAACGCAAAACAATGATTTAAAAAACATGAATAAAATAAATCTCCAAGGAAGAGCACAGGTACATATAGACACAGAGAGACACACATTAGGGTGGGGCAGACAATCAAGTGGGGAACGGGACAGGAAGTCAAAGCAAAACACGACCACAGAGAACAGAAGTCAAAATAAAACCAAATACAAATCCACATCACGACAGAACCCATGGCTCTTATGTGCTTGTTGTTATTGCATTCTCTGTCTGTTTCTCTAATCTGTTAGTTGGTGAATCGACTGTGATTTTGGGCAGTACGCAAATCGAATTGAACCTTGAGCCTTGACATTTCTCCATATTTCTTCACATTTTTCCACATTTCTCGTCATTTCTCCACCTTTTTCTACAATTCTCCATCATACAGTGACGTGTGTGCGTGTTTGTATGTGTGTGTGTGTGTGTGTGTGTGTGTGTGTGTGTGTGTATGGGGGCTTACCTTCTGGTCGGACAGCAGTGGGTTGGTCTGCAGTGAAGTCAGGTGGCCGTTGATGAGGGCCGTGGGTCTGTCGTGTTCGCAGAAGAGGCTGCCGTTGATGTAGTGGAAGCGATCTCCAGGGACCAGACGATTCCGACAGGTGGAACACGTGAAGCACTGCGGAGACACAAGCCGACAGTTACACACCTTGTATTGGGACACACTTAAACACATGTCTTTCACTAGTGGCTGGATTTAAAGCTTGGGGTGCCCTACTTTCTTTTCTTCTCCCTAAGTCATAAACGGGATGTTGTTTGTTCCAACATAACAGTAGCACAGATACTGAAAGTAAAAAGTTCAGACCTATTCAGACCTACATTTCACTGTTCATTTTTAATTTTCTACTTTTAACTGATTTTTGCTCTTGACTTATTACTGTCTGATTAGAAAGCACTGTATCTTTTGCATACTTGTAAGAAAGAGCCGTGTAAGTCACTTATTTTGATGCGTTGGGCTGAAAGCTGATTGGCTGAGGGATTCTGGTCCTCTCTTTACTCCCACTTTTCTATCTGGGAAAGCTGGTCTAAAGATTTGACTAAAACTACATTCATGTGTAACTTACCAATTCATTTTAGAGTCAGGAACTTGTTACTGGTAGATGGATTTTATGATGTTTTTCGTGTCATCTTTGTGCTTTGAAAGTTATGTACCCCAGTTTTCAGTTCATAAAACTATTAAAGCAACATGCTGTATTTTGCACATTCCTGAATATGTTTTGACTTTTCAAATTGTGTTTGAAACCTTGGGATTTGACCTCTTCCTGTTTCTTATATTTTTACAAGTTTAAATTGTTTAAAAGCTCCTATTTCCGTAGTCTCTCAAAAGTGTATGTCCTGAGTGACTTTGACTTATTTCTAAAACTAATCTGAAACAAATCTGAAATATGTTTGTCTGCAGAACCAGGCTTAGAATGGAATGATAATAATCTAACTTTTCTCACTGGTTACATAATTGAGCAAGTATCGATCCTGTACCACACATTTCCTGAGCAGATTAAGGAATGTATACACAAACAAGATCACTCTGTCGGTACTACTATTATAATATAAACATTTATTTATGTCAAACAATTGCAGCTAATTGTCCAAAAAGTATAAAAAGTTATACAGTTATACCTACATCAGATCCATTAAAAAAAATGTAACATCTTGGAATTGTGACAACACTACAACACTACTTGTAAGCATGGCTACAATAGAATATATACAATAAACACATTTTGTTAGTGAAAGTTATGCCACATTGAACACTGCAAAAAATGATCAAATATGAGGTAATAATTGCTAAGATCGAGAAGTTTTTATCTTCATTTGAGAATTATGTCGTGAACTGTGTCTTTGTTTTGTCATTCCAAGGGAGACATTTCTTGCATCTATGTAAAACTAAAATATTTTGCTTGTCCCACTGGCAAATGTTGTTTTATGGAAGTCAAAATGTGCTCAAACTAAGGTACATCTTATCAAATTTGAGCAATTTTTGACTTATTTTTCATCTCTGCGAAGAAATGTCAAAACAACTATAAGAAAAGGCCCTTGACCAGTTTCTTTTTTCTTTTTATTCGGCCCCTGACCAAATGAGTTTCACACCTCTGCCATAAGAAGTCACATGCGGCCAGCCCTCCCAGTGCTCCCAGTGCTCCCAGTGTCTATAGCCTACATATTTCATCATACACATGTCCAAGCAGTGTCTCATGAATCTTTGATAAGCAGCAGAAATGAGGTGTCAGTGTGTCCCAGTTCACACACACACACACACACGCACGCACACAAGCACACACATACACACACACACACACTCACCATGTTGACAGCCGCATCTGCCTGTGACATAATCTTTTTTTAAGCCAAATGGGAAATTAATAATCTTTTATCTGATTTGTAGATGTAATGTATGAAATTCTACTGCTGTTATTTCCACATAAAAGCTGTATAACTTTTCATATAAATACTTGATTTTAATCTAGTATATATTTTATAGATCAAAAATACATCCCCTGCTTAGTATTCTAATGTTGCTTGTCAGAATGCTATTAGCTGGAACTGACTGATGAGTGTAGGGGAGGCCTGAAATCAATTTTTAGATCAATCTTGATTTTTTTTAAATTAGATACAATTGATTTTTTTATTTAGTAATATGTAATCATTGGGGGAAAAAACATGCAGATGTTTTTTTGTTTTTTTTTTTATAAATTATACATTTACTTTCATGACAAGAAGACAAAGGTTAAATGAATTAAATGGTGTTTGTATATTTGTTCCATTGGGGTGGGGCTTTTTTAAATAAATTGTATTGTACCGTTTATAAATGTATTCAAATCAAATCATATTGTATCATTTATGGACATTCAATCCCATTTAAGGACAGTTCCGCTCACATGTGTTTGTTATTATTGCATTTCCTGTTTGTTTGATTCTCTGATCTGCTGTTGAGGAAACTACAACTTTGTAAAGTCCTTCCGAGACGACTGCTGTTGTGATCTAGGCCGCTGTACAAAATAAATTGAATTGAATAATTGAATCAAAAGTCCACTCTCAATATGTATCGCAGTGTGTATCATACTGTGCATCGTATTGCGTAACTTATTGTGTATCGTAGTATGTATTGCATTGTGTATGGTATTGTGCATTGTGTATGGTATTGTGCATTGTGTATGGTATTGTGCATTGTGTATGGTATTGTGTATCGACAGGCTATGAAAGAAACCCGGGCTTGATAAAAAGCATTTGGTCAAAGATGTGATATGCAGTTAAGAGTAACCCAGTGTAGAATCTTACCCCCGTCAGTTTCAAACATAAGTGTCCAGTAAAGTCATTGTAGCATAAATAAAAGGTCAACACGTCAGCCAAATGCCCGGTCCTCTCACTCTGAAGACCCGCGCTTACATGCCCTGCTCAAGGTGTTCATTTGAGGTTGTTGACTTTTTCAATTCAAAGAGAGGTCTGCTCGCACTGCGCACCAGATTTGAGGACAAACACAATGATTCCACTCTTCCACAGTATTGAGTTTACCTTGAGATGGTACACATTGCCTTGTGCCCTCATCACCAATTCACTTGCGGGAATGGATTGACCACAAGCGCTGCAAGCTCCGCTGTTGCCAAATAATCTGCGAAAAAAAACAAGAAAAAGGAAACATATGTTATGAGAGATATGAACAGGACATTGGACTGGACACATTTGGCTGCCGGTGACTTTACAGAGCACTAACTTCCTCTTTTTCATCCACAAACTTTAGAGAAATACCACCAAAAAACCAGTGTGGGGCAAGTCACTTAAAAAAACATAATACATCATGAATTACTTGTTATTGTTATTATAAAGTAATATGTTACACTACCCAGAAATGGACAAAGGGGAAGAAATTGGATGGATGGATGTTACACTACGAAATGACTGTCTCTTAATTGTAAAGCATTAAACTACTACTGATATACTTTTAGGTTACTTTAATCATAATATATATATATATATATACTCACATACTAAAAATAGCTTATTATGGTATTGGGTGAGGTTGATAAGAGTCTTTTTGCACATAAAATGCGCTTAACTTGCACATCTTTTTTCTCCAACAAACTCAAAATAATGCGACCACGTTGAAAATGTAGTAATTAGTAAGTAATCTTTATTTATATACCGCCTTTCACAAACTAAAGTCACAAAGCGGTTTACAATTGTTATTTTTTGGGCATTTGTCTCTCACTCCACACAGAGATGGGAGTGGGGTCGCTAGTACAGGAGGCGCATGCCAGACCTATTGTACATATTTTTAGTGGTAGGGGAAACCGGAGTACCCAGAGGAAACCTACGCAGACACGGGGAGAACATGCAAACTCCACTCAGAAAGGCCCTGGTCCGACCGGGAATCGAACCCAGGACCTTCTAGCTGAGAGGCGAGAGTCCTATCCACTCCACCACCGTGCTAGTGTCCGACGTAATGCCTGCTTCAGCTTCAGCCGTCTTCTATCAGAAAGGAACAACAATTCTAGGCGGTGACAAACACGATACTACTTTTTCTCCTCTGCTGATCCTGTGGTGGCATTGAGTCTGTGTCCAGATAAAAGGACAGTGGTGATGATCCCGGACACAACATTCAACAACATCTATGGACATCTGCCCCTTATGGACCAATACCGCTATGTGTTTTTTATCATGGCATTTCTTGTATGATTTTCTGATCTGTGTTGGTGAATGATTTTGGGCTATACACAAATATATGTAGTTGATTTGAATTGGATAGTATAAAAGCAAAAATACAATTTCATTTCAGACCTTTGAATCGAGTTAAATTTCACCCAGGTTTTTTGGAATGCCTTACATTACCGTACTCCCAACACTGCAAACGACTTGGAACGCCATCAAAAAGCCAACAAAATAGACCCCCAACATTAGATAAACACAACCAAACAACTGGGAAAACCATCAGAAAATACCACCACTCCACAGCCTTCCCGCTCAGGAGCTACATATTACTTTCAGTGCCCATTTTTTTGCAACCTAATAATAACTTGGAACATAAGCAATCAGGCCCTAAGAGGATTTGATTGTACATCCAGGCGGAGACGTAGTGCTTTTGCCATTAGGACTCCTGCAAGCGCTCTGTCACTGCCGTGTTTCCATTAGAAAGCCGTAGCTACTCGGCTTGATATATAATGTGCATGGGTTAACCTTTTCAATCATGGTGTCAACACTTTAGATTTGCTTCTGCTCATCTCTTTCGTCCCTAACCTTCTCTCTCTCTCTCCCTCTGCCTCTTGATAATGAAATGCTTGCTCCAGCTTCCCTTCTATCTTCCTTCTGAGTCCACAATTTAGATTACTTCATCTCGGTGAGCAGCAAACTGAATGAAATTTCGATTTGAGCAGAAAGTAATTTACTGGGATCTGGACCCATTTGTCATCATATCTCACCGGGTGTTTGCTCTATCACTGCACTTTTCCTACGCAATCAAATAAGACCACGGCATCTGACATGCTCCGCGCGCAGGAAGGGGGGGGGGGGGGATGTGGGCTGGTAGGGTGGGAGGGAGGGGAGGGGGGAGGGAGGGGAGTGGTTAACCGCCTGGATCACATGTCCTGATGAAAGCAATTAAGAACCACAAATATCAAATAAGTACAGTGTGTGAGGCCGATTCACGACATTACAGACAATGTGATAAGGTTTAGCAATCCAGTAGAGTCTAGATCACGCCTATTCCCTCTGAACAATCCATTCTGCAGCCACAGATGCCCAGAGGCAGAAGCGATGCAGCCAGTTTGTGCCATCGGCCCTTCTGACCACCACCGTTAATTCATCCGGACACGTACTGGACAATGTGGGTGGAGTACGTCGCCTAAGGATACAAAGATCCAGAGGTCTCCCATCACAGTACTAATCAAGCCCCGCCCTGCTTAGCGTCATAGATATGTGAGGATCTGGCTTTCACATGTAGCTCCACATAAATGTATAGTCTCTGGTTTGGCAAAATCCTGGTCTATACCAAGTTTGTAGAAGTCTAGTCTTAGTTTTATACTGGTTTGGCTTTTATTATTTTTACACAAAAGAATATAGCAGATGTAAAAAATCTGTAACTGAATGTAATAGTGTTTTGTTAACTTGCTGCAGCTTCAAACTCATTCAAAGCAGGTATGTGTTGTACAATTACTCAAAAAATTCGGCCCTTGAATAGCCCTGGTCCAGCGCTTTGTGGCGTTAAAGAACAATGGTAGACCAAAAGATGTTTCGATCTTTGTATTGTTTAAAAAAGGCACAGAATTTGCCAATTTTGCCTCATGATATAAGAGGGCTCCAGTTGACTATGTCCTTATGTCTGGTTTTGACGAGGGGAAAGTACTTCAACCTGAAAAAACTACAGTTGAACGGGAGGCCAAAACATTATAATGCTGTACTTGAAATTGTCAAGTTATTACAATGTAAAGGGTCTTGTTTGTGAACAGCACAGTACAAATATTTTAAAGAGGAGCAGAATTGTAAATTGTTAACAAAAGGATTTATCAAAATCTTGCAGCAGGCAAATTAATATTTCAAGCATTCAAGCCATAACCCAAGCAGTTAGATATATTGACAAACAAACAACACGCCAGACCTCTTTGCAAAAGCGACTGAAATGGCTGTCAATAAGACAGCCAAAGCAGAAGCAAATTTTGTTTTGGCATCATTTAGAAAGGCTCCATCAAAACTCAATTTCAGAAACTAATTAACTGGAGACCGTCGTCACAGCACTGCCAATTCTGAGCCTTCTCCGGGACAGACGTAGGACTGAAAAGCCATATACCAGGGCCTTGCTTTCAAACATTTGTGTTGAGGATAACATCTCTGCAAAATGTGTTCCCAGAATGTGAAAAAGAAGTGGTTGAAGAGAAGGCATCTGGTTCAGGCCCACTTCACTGCTGTGATTGTCACGTTTTCATACTTAGTGTAGAGTAATCTTTGTAAAAATGATTGTGGTGAGAAGAAACTAGCCAACATTCACACGTTCTCAATTATAAAGTTAAGGGTTATGTGAAAAAAACAGCCAAAGATTCCTAATTTTGTCACAGAAAACCCCCACAATTCCAATATTGAAGCCTTTTGTTATTCTTCGTAGCAGCATAGAGCAATGTCATTAACGTCCGAGCCATCTGCAATACCTGAAAATCATTATAAATCTAACACACAATTATATTCTATCTATTTGTTATTGCAGAGAACTTACGACAGCCTGTACTGCGCCTTCAAAGATGCTCTCATCAACATGTCAGCTCCTGTATTACATATTTATCTTTGTATTGTTTTCTTTGACGCTTTGGAAACTGTGGGATATAGTTTCAATTCCCGGCATTAGCCCTCCGTCTGCTGCACCTTTAAATCTCTTGAATTGCTTCTGAAAGGTGCAGAAACAAAGGCTGGAGGACATTTCAGCACGCCCTTTGTATTTCACCAGTGTGTGGAACTCATACCAGGTTAATTATTTTACCAGGGGAAAGGCCCTTGATAGTATTTGATTTAAGAAGCCTGAGCCTTTAGGTGCTCAATTAAGTTGCTATATCGGTTTGAACTTGGGCTCTAATGGCCTCTTCTGCCACTGAACTACAGCGCTGGGGCCAAGTCGACACCCTGGGTCAGCATAATTAAGGCCATGGGACTCTTTAATTGCAATGACACATCTGGTTTCTCCCTAAAAATCAGTAGCTCTTTGAAAATGCTGGAGACGGCTTTATCTTGATTTATGTCTCTGCCTCCCTGTTGGATTTGAGTTTGAAATGCTTGCGGACTTGAATTAAAGAACAAACAGAAAAACACATACTCATTGGGAGCTGTCTGTTGCCCATAGGCGATGACTATTGAATTTCATTTCAGCTCTGACGGACCAGGTGAAATATAGCATGGGCTGTCTGGTGAATGCGAACCTCATTCGGCGAGGCCTTTGAGTAGGGTAAAATTACCCCACAACAATGATTTCTGCAACACAGTCCATTAAAAATGCCTCTCTACATCAGCAGCCAAAGCACCTTAAAAGCACTAGGCCATATTGATACTGAAGCGGGGCTTTGCATAATGGCAAGAGCTGCATTAGTGAAGAGCAGCGGCGGCGGTGGGGAGGGGGCACATTGTAAGGATGAGAGGGCGGTGTGTGCGGTTAGATTTAGTTTGAGTATGTTGATGTGTTTGAGGGGGGGAGGGGCCTGTCAGTGCGTGTGTATGTGTCTGTGTGTGTGTATGGGAAAGGATCAACCAAATTACACTTGGATAATTCAGAGTAACAGATCTGGCCCCAAGTGAATTGAAGGCCTTGAATTAATTCTGTTATGACAAATCAAGATAAACGCTTCCCCTAAATTGCACACGGTTTAATTAATTTTCGGAGATCCTGCGTTTTGCCCGGCCCTAATAGTTCACGTTCTCTTACGCTGTCAGAGTGCTTGAGTGGGCAGACATCAAAGTGATATTAAATAACCTAACTATTAGATTTACCTCACACGTTCTATTGGAAAAGTGCCATTTAATTACCTAGGCTTATTCAATTAAGGGGACAGCATTCTCCCCGAATCCAGCAGCCACGAGTAAATTAATTCTCAGTCGACTGGCAGACCGCAGAAATAATATCACCTCCGGCTTAAAACAACA